GGGGGGTGGGATTGGCAGTTGAGGGATCTGCCAGGGGAGGGAGGGGCACACCTCATCAACAAGAGTACCTGCATAATGAACATTTGTATACCTAACCCTGAATTGCACCCCACATCTTTAAAATTAAAAAAAAAAAAGGACGTGCATTTCTAACAAGTTGCCAGTTGATGCTGGACCACACTTTGAGAACCACTAGCCTAGAAGAATTGGGAAAGCACATGCCAACTCTGGCAATCCCAGGACAGAATGGACTCTTGTGAACTTGGAAATGTATCGGGGGCTTCATGGGATGCCTTCTGTTGTCCAGGAGGATAATGCCATTATTAATAAGCTGCCACCTAGAGCTCATTGAACTGCTGGATGCGAGCGGCATTCCAAGGAACTTCCTGGTGGGGAGAGGAGATTCCAGGCACCTGCAGCATGGTGGGGAGGATCCACTGGTAGCCGCTGAGAGAGAAGAGGTGGTTGAAATGCACGGCGGTGTTGATGACGGTGGCCGCGTACTGCCTGAGCAGAGCACTGTCTTCTGGGTGCAGGATCAGAGCCCCGTTAAACACGTTCAGGAAAAGCATGATCTCATCTCCCCAGGGAAACTCGCTCGGCATACCCAGGAACATTTCCTCCAGGAGCTGGATCCACAGGCTCTTCTGAAGCGTGTCGAGACCAAACAGTTCCTTCCCAGCTGTGAGAACACAAACCGGCAGAGACAGAATCAGCCCCACACGGCCCCTGTCAGCATGAGAGGGATCAAGCCCGAGGATGCTGCCGCTCCCCACTTGTTCCAGCTCCAGGGTGTGACCTACTGCTGAAATGCTCTCCAGCACAATATTGCTGGAATTAGCACAGCCTTTCCTAGGTCTCCACGGACTTTCATCATCACTGCTTTGATTTAACCCTGAGGGCAAGACAGGGCTGCATGTGCAGCGTTGAATAAGCCCTCGCTTTGAGAAAGATAAATAATTTCAGCCAGAAAATGGCAGGGCTGGGACTAGTGCTTGGTCTTCTAATGACTGGTCGGACTAGAGCTCTTATCACGGTTGCTCTGCAGCTTCTGGATGAGGGCAATGAAGCCTGAGGAAGCTGTTTCCTAGTCTGTCTGTCTGTCTGTCTCTCTCTCTCTCTCACATACACAAACACAGACACACATAATTCAGGTATAATTTAGAGTAACATGCATAGGTCATAAATGTAGATTTCATTGAGTTTTGACAAAAATAGGCACTCACCTAGCCAATACCCAATCAATACAGTTTCATCACCTCAGAAAGTTCCCTCATGCCCTTTTCCAAGAAATCCATGCCCTCTCACTTCAGGGGCAACCCCTGTTCTGATTCTTGTCACTCTAGACTTGTTTTGCCTCTTTTTGCATGCCATATAAATACCTGATTTTTGCTTAGTCAGGTACTCCCCTCCACTAACAACACATAATTCGCTCCGAGCCGTGGCCTCACCGTTCGGGGCTGGGAGTAGCCGCATCAGCATCACCTGGGAACCCGCTAGACACGCAAGCTCTTGGGCCCCATCCTGAAACCTACAGGGGGAGGGGGAGGCCCGGCAATCTGTGTTTCAACACGTCCTGGAGGAGGTTCTGTAATAGCTCACGCTTAGGGTTGAGAACCACAGGCCCACAGAACTGGCTGCTGATTGAGATGCTCTCCAGTTGAAAACAAAACAGCTTTAAGAAAAGGCCAAAAGAGGAAACGTCTCTTTTCTTGTTCAGTACCTTGAGGATCATTGAAGAGGGAAAACTCGGCATCGATAGCACTTCGAGGGAATGAGGGCAGTCGGAGGAGGTCTTCCTGAAGCATGGACACGTGGGACTGCTTGTGGGCCGTGGGGATCTTCTGAGTTAAAGAGATGAGGAACAGCACCCTCCCGACTTCCTCCAGCTTCCGAGTGAACACCTAGTGAAAACAAAGGCAGGAGCAGACAAAAAAGCCGAGTTAGAAACCCCCAAATTCTAGTGTAAAGAAATGGAAGTAAAATCAATCGTTAACGACGAACCAGGCCGATCAAATAAAAGAGGGAAAAGTGATTTTTTTCCCCCTCTACCACAGAGAAAGAGCAAACCATCCTGAATGGACGCTCACTTCCTGCTTCTGCCTGCTCCCACAGAAGGAAGTGTTCCTTACAGAGTTTGGAGGCTGGAGGCGCAGGAGGCCAGCATAGTCACGCACAGTTCAATATTAAATAAAGCCCAGGTGTTTGGAGGCCATCATAGGAAGATCCCTAACAGGGAGCCTGTCCGTCAGTTCCCGTCACTTCTGCCATTTCCACCAAGGCCTTAAACTGTTTCCTGGCCACTCTGGTTTTTCTCTTAAAAAAAAAAAAAAACCTGAAGTGGGATCCAGGAAAAACCTATTTTGCGACAAACGCTGATGTGCCCTCGATAGTGCCCTGAGTTTAGACAGCATGCGCGTGGGGCTCCTGTCCCTTCTCTTAGTTGCTTTTCTCTTGATGATCCGTGGGTGGAGGGATGTGATGGAAGTTTATAAGCAGCAAGCAGCTGATGAGGAAACTTCTGCACCAGAACCATAGGTCTCCCTATTATTATCTCCCTGAGGAACTTAGAAAGAAGCCTTGAGATTCCAGCTTGGAGTGTACAAAAACAGCAAACGCTCCATTTTATGGCATTCTTGGAAAGCATGATAAACACACACACACACACACACACACACACACACACACACACACACACACACACACAAACAAATACACACATGCACACTAGTGAAGCTCCATTATTGATTATGGTTTTAATTGTCTTGCTGCCAAAAGTCAGAGGCTGGAATCATTTGGGGAAGTTATTTTAGAAATTGTTTTTATTTAAGATCTTAGAGTTTTGCCCCAAATCTCACACCTTATAACCCATTCACTATTTTCTTTCTTTTTAACTGCAATTTAGATAGTTAAGGCCAGTTATATTTCTGATGACTTAAATGGTCTAATTCTATGCTCTTCTCACTCGTCTGATGAAGATATCTTTGGATAGTTTGATGCCAAATTATTATCCTGGATATGTGCATAAAAATGGGACTGATGGTCCTGAAATTCTTGCTTACAGATTTTATTTAAAAATGGAATATACATAGACAATCTTAAAATTGTATCATTTTTTCAAATTGTGTCCTAAAGTTATATTTTGCATGTGGAATAGTGACTTTCCCTAACTCAAAGTCTGATTTGAGGTTAGATAGGTGAACATTATTCTGTTATTCAACTTTAAACCTAAGAACAACTGTTTCATTATGTCTCTTCCCATTTTAAGAGAAGTTAATAAAATGCACAAGGTCAGATCCCTGGTCAGAGGCAGAGCTGGAACCAAGTCAAAATCTTTGAAGCTTTGTTTAATGCTTTTTTTTCCCAGGCATATTAGATTGACCTCTTTTGCTTTTTATCCAGCTTGGGTAAACCTCTGGGAAGCCATCTAGTAGCTACATTATGTGTACTTCCAATCCTGTTTCACAAAAATATGAAATGAAAGCCTATACTTAGAAACTAGAAGGTAAATAAATTAGGCTGGGTGTGGTGGCTCATGCCTGTAATCCCAGCACTTTGGGAGACTGAGGTAGGAGAACTGCTTGAGCCCAGGAGTTCGAGACCAGCCTGGACAACATAGCAAGACTTCGCCTTTACAAAATCAAAATATTAGCTGGGTGTAGCATGTACTTGAAGTCTCAGCTACTCAAGAGGCTGAGGTGGGAGGATCACCTGAACCCAGGAGGTCAAGGCTGTGGTGAGCTATGTGGGCAAAAGAGTGAGACCCCAACTCAGATTAAAAAAAAAACAACCAGTAGGTAAATACATTAGAAGATTTCTATGATTTATAGCCAATAATTCATCATAGTAGTTTTTTCCCTAGTCAGGGTCCCACTCTGTTGTCCAGGTTAAAGTACAATGGCACAGTCATGACTCACTGCAGTCTCCATCTTCCGAGCTCAGGCAATCCTCCCACCTCAACTTCAAGTAGCTGGGATTACAAGTGTGTGCCACCAAACCCGGCTAATTTATTTATGCATTTATTTATTTGCAGAGACAAGGTCTTACTATGTTGCCCAGGCTGGTTTCAAACTCTTGGTCTCAAATGATTCTTCTGCTTCGGCATCCCAAGATACTGGAATTATAGGCATAAACCACTGTACCCAGCCTAAGTGAGTGTTTCTTAATACCTTTCACTATGGTCCAATTTATAGATCTTTTTTTTTTTGAGTTGGAGTCCCACTCTGTCGCCCAGGCTGGAGTGCAGTGGCACACTCACGGTTACCCCAGTGTCGACCTGCTGGGCTCCAGTGAACCTTCCACCCTAGCCTTCCAAGTAGCCGGAACTACAACACATGCTACCATTCCTGGCTAATTTTTTATTTATTGTAGAGACCAGGTCTCACCAAGTTGCCCAGGCTGGTCTTGAACCCACGGGCTCAGGCAATCCACTCGCCTCAGCCTCCCAAAGTGCTGCGATTCCAGGTTGAGCCACTGAGCCCAGCCTATAAATCTTAAAACACTATTTTAGGGAATAATCTATTGGGCAAGGGCCATCCACTCTTTCCAGGGAGGGGAATAAGAATGACAGGATATCAGGGTTGGCAACACATTAACAGATAATCTATCCGAACAAAATGACAACACCATAGAATAAAACGGAAGTAGTCAGACACCTGTTTTTGAATGAGTTCCTGTCCCTTCTCTGGATGCATGTGTACAAGGTTCAGCTGTGGAGATACTGACCTCCGGAAAGGGTAAATGTCTCGAACATAGGTCTGTGGTGGATTACACAAAGAGAGACGAGAGCAAGAGACAGAGAGAGAGGGGGGAGGGGGGGGGAGATAGGAAGGAATAGAGAGAGAGAGAGAGAGAGAAAGTTCAAAGGATTAAATTTTTATTCTCACTTTCTCTTTACCCAAAGGTCTAAGCACTAGGGTGCAATGTCAAGAGCAAAGAGCCAAAGGTGATTTTACTAAATGACACCTGGACGAGCACTGTAAGGTGATGTCAGTGGGTGCCCTGAGGCGGCCTTTTGCTCATTAGCTCAGGTCACCATGGTCATATTTAACCCGTGGTAGAAAAGAGAACCAGAGCAGCATTAAAATTCCAAATAGACACACATAGTTATAATACAGGAAACTTCGTTTTTCACTTACATGTAACAATGATGAGCAATTATGCCCCTTACCCAGCTTACTCCTTTAATGACTACAACTACTCCAGCATAGATACTATTATCATTACCTTTATTTTACAGTCAAGAAAACTGGAGGGTAGGCAGCTAAAGAAGCTAGTCCAAAGTCATATCGACAGTAAAGTGGTGGGACCAGGTGGCCATATCATCACCCCGTAAACAGTGGCATCTCCCTGACTGTGAGCCATCCTCAGGAAAGGTAGAATGCACCTTTGGCACAGTCAGCCTGATGGTCATTCCTGCACAGGCTCACCTTATTGTAGTGGATGAGGTTCCATCGTTTATCCATGAGAAAATAATGTGTTGATTGGGATTCTGGGATGTTAAAAAACTCCAGACATTCCTAGAAAATAACGACACATCTTCATAAATGTCTCTCAAGAGGGTACTATGTGCTGGGTAGTAAATGGACACATAAATATCAAAAAAGCAAGGTAGCTTTTTATGAGGATTTTATATACATATACATACACACACTTATATCTTATATATATTATATATGTGTATATATGCATATATACGTACATAGTTATCCAGAGAATGATATAATAATGACTGATATATAAGTAATAATAAAATAAACCACCTGCTCTCGGCGTGCCCAAAGATGTACAATTAGACTTCAGGCTAAGTGATGGACTGTGGAGGAATGATGGTTCCTACTGATCTCAGCATCAGGAACATGAAGACTGATACAAACGAAGTGCATTGAGTACTTATTATATACTGTATACTAGGTTCAGTGCTCTTCATGTAGAAAACGTGTGTAACCTGAACTAGTATCACAGAACTGCTGAGAAAGAAACTGAGACTAGAGAGGTCCTATCATTTGATTTAGGTCACACTGGTTAGGGTGAAGCCAGGGCTTGAACATACGCAGTCTGCCTTCATGCTATCTTGCCATTCACTGTGAGCATAAAAATGGAGTGGCTGTTGAAGTCTGCTGCACTGGGCCCTAGAAATTCTCTGGAGATGTCTGGGGAAGCCAGAAGGAGGAGTAGTGACCCTTTCTACTGAAATAAAGCACACACATTTGGCAAAGCTGATTTTCCTCAGAGGGCTTTTCTACTTGCATCTGGGCCCAGAACTGTGTTCTGGAAAACTGGATTACTAAAAGCTTAGAGTCCAGACAAATGGGGAATCACGGGACTAGTTTACTTGTGATTTTTACCTCACACACGTTACTGGCACGTGTAGCTAAGGACTGCATTTCGTTTGAGGGGAATCATTACCATAACGATTAGAAAATGCTTTGCCGACTCACCAGATTTATTTAAGGCATATTTTGCTTCTCCAATCGTTTCTGCCGGTGGTAGGTCAAAACTGTATATTGTTCAATTAAATGTCCCAAAAAGAATCTCTGGCATGATCGTCAGCTGACGGCCAGGGTTTGCCCCGGTGCTGTCAGATGGCAAACACAGGGGACCTCTAGAACGCCCACACGTGGTGCCAGGAGCCCCTAAGCGGGAAGTCACAGTCTTGCAAGAGGAATCAGGAGTCACACCAGAGTGCCAAGATGCTGGTGTCGCTGCCACAGAACCTGCCTGCTTTCACCAACTTCATGCAGGACCGAAATGTCAGCAAAAATGGGGAAAATTATGCAAGGTGCATAACAGTATGCTTAAGTGCATAACAGTGCAGCAGATTCTCGAAGAGTAAAGAAATGTATACGTTTATTTAAAGATACACAAATGCCATTTTACTCTAAACAAGGGCTCAGTGAGGTGGTCATAGTCACTGTACATAAAAAATTATTTCTGTCAAAAGTCATTCCTACCTTCAACAGGGCTTCAAATTGAGTGTCTTCATGAACTGGTAACTGGGTTGGGATATCACACTCGTTCTGCCCATGGACTACCAAGGTTTTAGTACCTACAGAAGATAAAAATAATAGTAAACTGACTTCTACTTTGGAAAGTTTGTATTTAAAGCATAAAATACCACATTACTATCAACAAACTGTTACTGTTATTTTTATTTACTTAATGTGAACTTTGTGTTGCATTAATTGCACTCCTTTATTCACAGTTAAATATATATTTTGCATATATTCATTTATTAAATAATGACAGTTACCGCTTATGGAGTTCCCTACACTTTTACCTACCCTTTACGTGCATAATTGTATTTAAATCTCACAGCAACTTCATGATATGGACATTATTATTTTTATTTTACAAATGAGGAAAAAGAGAAATTGAAAGACACACATTTATTTAGTGGAAGAGTCAGAACCCAGACCTCAAGCATTGCTAAAAGTAATATATCCCTGTATTTTAAATGGGATGACCAGGCAATGATGGTTGAGGAAATATAAAGAGATATTAGCAAAACTAAAACAAGTTCATGAAATGTAGTTTAAATTTACATTTTCTGTATTCTGCTTAGCTGGTTAAGAGAGTATTTATTCTACTTCGTTCATTAATCAAAAATATTTGTGAACATTGTGATATACCTTGAGTTTTTGAGTTGCTTTTATGTATATTAATGACAATGTGAATTTCTTTGCTATAATAAAAACGAATCTCTTTTTTTTGATAATCTATAGAACATACAAATATACAACTACCATAAGTCAGGCACAGCAATAAGCATTTTTTATACCTAAGCTCATTTATCCCTCGTGATTGAGAAGTATGAATTATATCCCTACTTTACATATGAGGGAAAAAAAGCTTTGAAAAATGATGTACTTTCTCACAGCTAATACTAGTTATTGGACTAATAAATGGTAGTGCTGTGATTTTAACACAGAATCTGTCTTCTCATCTATCCATAATTTTGTGTTTCTCTTTATTTCACTACATGTATCATCTCATATATTCTTAGCCACTGCGCAATGATAAAGGCTTGTCACAATCTTTGTCTTAGGCAAAACAAGCTATCGGAAGTGAGCAGGAACTGTGTCAAGAGTTGACATCACACTTCATGTGTTCTTTGTAATCTTCCTTCTTCCTGCTTTTCCCTTTTCCAATTTTTCATAAAGCCTTCTCTCATGAAGATTACAAAGGAGTGGTGTGCATGCCATGTAAACAGTCTTAGTCTCCTTGCAGTGCCAAAAATGCACTCAAAAAGGCTTTCAGTTCAGTTGGCCCCTCTGCGATAGACTTAAATAAATCTTCAGCCTTGCAGTGCTTCAAGGACAGATTCACACGGATCTCAGTTCTGATGTCTCCCTTTTCATCTGGCAACTGCTGATTTTTTAAAGGGTCTATTGTATTTCTCCTGATTATATTAAACAAAAATTCTTTGGAGCACTCAAGACTAGAGGTTAGAACGCTAAATATTTTCTTATGAATGAAAGAGCCTCTTGGTCTTTTAAGGGGCTATTTATCATGTTGTTTTTCTTAAAGTTATGTCACCCCAAAGCAGTGGTGGGTTACCTGGCATGGAAGCGGTCACCAGGAGCTTTACCTCGCACTGCTCCTTCTTCATGGTCTGCTTGAGATCCTTGAAGAAGAGACCCTCCACATAACCCACCACCTCCCACAGGAACGTCAGAGTGGCGGAGATGGCATCCATCCCCCATTCGCAAGGGGTCCGCACGAAGTACATGATTAATCCCACCTACAAGGGAGGATGAGAAGAGTTCACAAAGCCATAATAATCCCAAACTCAAATTCTCATTTCCTTGCCTTTCCTTGCCTTTCGTTCTTTTTTTAAATGGAAGCTTCTGAACCTTCCTGTTCTCTGTTCAAATGCTTCTCTAACACTTTCAGTGTTCCCAGGAGAGGGCATAACTTGAAAACTGACACACAGGCTGCCGTCTATGCTTAGGCATCACTAAAATGGCTATCTTGTTGTTTCAAGACGAGGTCTTGCTCTCGCCCAGGCTGGAGTGCAGCGGTGTGATCACGCCTCAAATACAGTCTCAAACTCCTGGGCAGGTGGTCATCCCACATTAGCCTCTGGAGTAGCTGGGACTATAGGTGTGCAACACCACATTTGGCTAATTTGTTTCTATTTTCTGTAGGGATGGGGTCTCACTATGCTGTCCAGGCTGGTAAAAGGGCTAACTCTCAAGAGGAAAGTGGAAAGTGGTGCTTTCCAGGCACCATATCGCTTGGTAGCTCAGGTACTTAGACCATCTCAAATTAATCTGCATGTAAAATTTTCGCAAACACTATTTGCAGCTTGGATTTTGTCTAATAGTTTTGAACCCTAAGAGTGCTCTGTTTGGATAAATCGGTAAACTTCAAAATTATAATTTTGCATGTCTTTTTTCAGAATTTTTGTTTGCATATGTTAAACATTCTATATGCCAAAATAAAATGAGGACAGACTGGCAGTAGTGGGAATCTGCCTGGGAAAGTGGGGGAGCACATCTCATCAATAAGGGTAGCTGCATAGTGAATATTTGTATACCTAACCCTGAATTGTATCCCATAACTTTAAAATTAAAAAAAATTAAAAGGGAAAAACATTTTAAAAAAAGAAATACTTTGATGGAATAAGTTTTAACTAACTTATTCAATAATATACCAAAAATTCACAAAGAAACCATGTGCATGTTTTCCTGTGAGCTTCAGCCATTGTTTGTACAAAAACTTGGCAGTCCTGGGAAACTCTCTGGTTACATTGAAAGAATCAGTGTCACAACCTCATCTGCTTAGGTGGTTCTCGTCACTGAACACCCTGAGGAGGGCTACCCCTATCAGAAATCTATAAAGCGTGAAAAGGTGGGGTATCCTCCAGACTTAAAGTGCCTTAATCAGTCAGAAAGGAGGATTTTTAAAAAAACCAATCCAACAGTTCAGATTCTTTTTCTGTCCTCTATGCCTGTCAATGCACCTGGTGTTGTCCGATGTGGGGGGGTGGGCCTTTCTCACGTGCAATAGAAGAATGGTGACTGAGATGACAGATGTGCTCAACAAGTGTGCATGCATATTTGTAAGTCGAGGATTTGGAGATTTATTCTTTTAAAGTCATCTGGGCTCCAAATAGATTTGAAAATCTTTTTGTGGCAGGGCAAAAGAACAGAGGAGAGCCATGCATCCAAGTAAACATTTCCCCTATTCAGGGAAACAGGTAGGTATACGGGCAAGCAAGGGCAACCCAGAGGGTCTCTCGCCTCTAGTCCCTGTTTGGGTCTTTAGCGGGAGTTCATCTCAGAGCCTTTGCCTACCAACTGGGATGCAACGGAATTTGGCAGGTCAAACACTTCATTGAGGGAGGCCTTGACCTTTGGCCTCGCAAATCCACCTTTGGTTTTTGTGTGGTGTAGATAGGATTCAGAAGCAGCAAACTCTCGGCTGGACAGCTTTCCAGATGGAATTGCCACAGGCTGGTGTCACTCGGTGGGATGCTGGGCCAAGGGACATCCTATCCAAGGGCCATATTGGACTCACGACGGGAACCCGGGGACTCTAAGGCACCAGCAGAAACTGAAGTGAGGTTGAGTCTCCCAGCACAAGCTGCTGAGAGCAGACAGGCCTTGTGTTACAGCAGTCATGGGCTTTGGTTTTGTCAGCCAGGCATCCAGCAACCAGCCAGACTAAGGACACCGTCTCACAAATGGAGGAGCCAGAGGAAAAACAAGGGATCAGACGTGAATGCAGGTCTTTTTTCTTCCCAACCCCACACACATAGCTTTAGAGACAAAAGCTGGGGAGGAGAATTCCTAGAGACGACACTTTTTTATCCAAGAGAGACTGAACACCACCCAGAAGTACTGTTGTATCAGTCTGATCTTAAATCTGAATTGGACACTTCATTGTATTTTTTCCTCTTGCCAACCAGCAAGTAGGCACTCAGGAGAAAGACGACAAAACTTGTCACAGACAAGAGAAAGGAATTACAAATTTTCTCCGCACATGGGAGTGGTGGTGTGAGTTAAATTTATCACCCTGCTAGGACAGCATATACATATGATATCCATTTCCCTGACAACAGCAAGGGAGAAAGAAGTTCTCCCAACACAGACATTAATCTGTCTATCTGTCTGCCCGGATAAAGGGACAATTTCAAAAAATAGTCATCAGACCCCAGTTCCCAAACTGTATAGTCACGTTACACGGGGTGTAAGGTGGAGAATATGAAGAAACAAGTACATCCTGGAGAGTTCAGGAAGGAGCTGTCAGAGTGGCTTAAAGCATAGATAGTCGCATGGAAAAACACCCTCACAAATAACTTTTTATTTAATATAACATTTGCCTCTCTCTGTATATGTGTGTGTGTGTGTGTGTGTGTGTGTGTGTGTAAACTGAGATAAGTAAAGAAAAAAAATACTGAAATGAGACATACGTTTTCTCAACAGAAAACTAAAATTAAGAACCAACAGGCCAGGTGCGGTGGCTCACGCCTATAATTTCAGCATTTTGGGAGGCTGAGGTGAGAGGATTGCCTGAGCCCATGGGTTCAAGATCAGCCTGGGCAACTGGGTAAGCCCTCATCACTACAATAAATAAATAAATAAATAAATTAGCCGGGTGTGGTGGTGCATACCTGTAGTTCCAGCTACTAGGGAGGCTGAAGTGGAAGGATCGCCTGAGCCCAGCAGGTCAGGGCTGCAGTGGCCGTGAGAGTGCCACTGCACGCTAGCCCGGGTGACAGAGTGAAACTCCAACTCAAAAAAAAAAAAAAAAAAAAAGAAAAAAAGGACCAACATAAGGAAGTTCTATATTGCTAGAGGAAACTGACATGCCTATCCATATGCCAAAGATTGTGACAGGCAAGGGCTTTCCTATACTCAAAGGGGTGAATTTAGCCAACCACGATCACTTTTAGTCATATAATTAATGGAAATGTATTGGAAAAGAAATAATCTCCCAAGGCTTTTTTCTCATGTTACTGATTCCTATTCGGGAATGAACATTTATAACCTACGGGCTGCTGAAACTTACCAAGTAATTGAACAGGATGTGAGAGGTCTGAGCAGGAAAGTCTCCAATATTCAGGAGAAGTTTACGCAACATGTACATTAACTCATCCTAGAAGAAGAGCAGAATTTTTAATGTCTCACTCAGCTGCCATGCTGTAGGCAGTAAAATTAGCTTTTAGAAAAGCAGGGTGAGGGGGGTAGGAATCGGGGGGGGTGGGAGGGAAGAGGAGAGGAGGGAATTTTTTTCTTACTTTGGCCCACATGTTGATTTAATTATGTTCAAATTTTAATCGAGTATACGTGATACTTGTTAAATAGTATTTAAACCATCTTGAACACCCTTCTCCTAGGAGCTAACATATATAAGTTACCAAGCAGTAGCCAGAAAACTATCTTTAAAAAAAACAAAACAAAAAAAAACTTTTACACTGTGTGAAGAGGTCACAAGCAAATCACAGGAAAGCTGTATATTTAGTTAACTCTAAATACAGGTGTGATGGGAATGAGAAAAGGATTTATGTTGAAAATCACTAAAAGAGGGTTTTTGAACTTCATAATTCTGCTTGCTAGGTTTTGAGACAAAGAGATAAAGACAGGTCATGAGAGGATAAATTGAGATGTCTGTAATTAACTGTACCTTTCAGAAATAAAACTTAATCTTCCAGTAAATATGACCATAATATAGAAAGGAACGATTTTCAATCATCAGTGTATTTTGTCATTGTTCAAAAAACTAGTTTTATTTGATACTATCTGGAAAATTCAATTTTTTGATTCATGAAGCATTTCAACAGATTCTAATAATCCTATCTGCATCACAGACTACTGAGCAATCAGAATTCAAGAAATGTACCCAACAGTAAAAGCATGATACTGAATTTGATATTTGTTTAAACTATTGTGAATCTTGTGGTATTTGAGGGCCATCATTAGCAATGTACAATACACATCAGTCAATACACAATAAACATCAGTTCATGGAGAAATTAAAAAGAAAAGCACAAAGTTGAATATTGGTCATCAGTATTTAAGTACTTGTTGGCTATGTATCAGACGATACTGAGCTGCAGGCATGACACTAAAAAGTTCTTTGCTTGCTTTGAACACTCGTAGTTCATACTCGCAGCCACTTAGCTGCACTAAAAAAGAAGAGGAACTTACTTGTCTATTGCTGATGGTCAGTTTTTCCAGAAAATGCCGAAGAACTGTTGATGGATCTTCAATTAGACAATTCCATAAGACTTGTTGGGCCACAGCGCTCACTTTAGAAGAGAAAGAAAATGGAACATTTGTCTTAAATGGAGATACATTGATCAGATAAATATTTAATTATTTACTCAGCTTTAGACTCTCCTTTTTGCCTCAAAAAGGTTCTGTGAACTCCTTTTCTATTGACGGGTGGAGGTTTATTCTCTTTGTTGTCGCAACATTTTCACATGTTAAAAAAAATGTAGGATGGATTTATGGTGTTAGCATAGCTTTTGCAAAGAATACCTTTGTGAATATGTGTAGTTGTCTTTGTTGCAGAAATCACTCTAATATTAGCAGTGGTATATATTTATCAAATTAAAGTCACATTTTATTGCTTATTTTATCGTGAGATTTCTAAAGACATGATTTGGTTTTTGAAAGTATGTTTTGGTTTAGAATGTACATGAGTTAGAGATGATGTTTTACTATCCACACGAATGCTTTATACAGTATCTCCTTCAGCAAAGATAAAGAAGTTTAGCCAGTAATAATTAGGTTCTTACTTCTAATGAGGAAGTCTTAGAGATGAATAATCAGTCCTTATAAGAAATAAAGTGCTACTTCTTGAGGAAGGTGGTCAGGCTAAGATTGCCTGGAAGTATCCAGGCTTCTAAGAAAGCAGTTAGGTGGAAGGGAGTGGTGGCGAACATCAGGTAATCTTTGGTCCGAACTAGTTGCCCAATTGCCTTAGTGTTCCTAAATGAAGAATATAGACTTTAGCAGGGATTTATAACTTAGCCTATATTTTGAATAAATGAAACCAATTTTTGCTTCTGAAACTAACCACCAATCAAAATTAAGAGCTCTATAAATAATACCAGCGGTGCCCAAAAAATGTATACACATTTTAAGACATGTTCACTATCATCACACATGTCTGGATGCTGATGGTCACCACTCTGAGCACTTTTTTAATTGCAGAAGTCCAACATGCCTTGTATTCATCTTATTGAGTATTAAAATTTCAATACAGTTTTTTTCCTTTCCTAAAATGCGTATACTTTTTTGGACACCCTCTGTCTTAACAGAAAATATATAAATGCAGAGCTTTGAATTTCATGTGTCTCTATAAATAATTAAAATATAAGTGAGTTTTTCTTAGGTTGAAATTGCTTGCAAAAATATCTTTACATGCGAAATAAGCCAGCCAGAGAAAAATAAATTCTGCATTTTTTTTTTTTTTTTTTTGAGTTGGAGTCTCACTCTGTCACCCAGGCTGGAGAGCAGTGGCACGCTCCTGGCCACCGCAGCCTTGACCTGCTGGGCTCAGAAGGTCCTTCCGCCTCTGTCTTCCAAGTAGCTGGAACTATAGGCATGTGCTACCATGTCCGGCTAACTTTTTGATTTATTGCAGAGGAATTACAGGCACACACCACCATGTCTGGCTAATTTTCTGATCTATTTTATAGCTGAGGTCTTGCCAAGTCATCCAGGCTGTTCTTGAACTTGCAGGCTCAGGCAATCCTCTCACCTCGGCCTCCCAAAGTGAGCTACTGTGCCTGGCAGTCCACATGTTTTAACTCATATGTAGTGCTAAATAAGTTGTTCACCTAGAAGTAGGAGTAGAATAGTGGTAACTAGTGACTGGGAAAGGGAACGGGGAAGGAGGTATAGAAGAGGCTGGTTAATGGATACAAATTACAGCCAGATAGAAGACATGTGCTCCAGTGTTCTTTAGCACTGTAGGGGAACTATGGTTAACAATTATTTATTCTATATATATATATTTTTTTTGAAAGCAGGATTTATTGAGAGGACAGAAAAGCTCCCACAGTGGGAGGGGACCCGAAGGGGTTGCCGTATACTGTATTCTTAACTAGAAGAGAGAATTTTGAATGTCCCCAACACCAAAAAGATAATGAATGTTTGAAGTAAAATATTTGCTAATCACCCTGATTTGATCATTACACATTGTATATAGGCATTGAAATATCACTTTGTATTCCATAAGTATGTATAATTATGTTTCAATTAAAAATAAAAAATGTTTAAAATATTATTTTTATTTAAAATATACATTGAAAAATACAAAGAGAAAAATAAGACTGGTAAGTCTACCAATTACAGAAACAACTATGAACAGTTTGGGGTACGCCCTTTTATATACATGAAATATATATTACATATATTTCAAAATAGTACTATATATAGAAGAAATTCATTGGCACTCAGTTTTTTGCTTAGCAACACACTGAACAGTTTTTACATTAATATTCTTCTAGAATGCAATTTCTAATGTTCACAGAATGAAATCATATGGATGTACCATGATTAACTAATTGCCTATTGTTAGACATTTAAATGTTTTCCAAATCTTTTTATTTTAAATAATGTTCAATATATAGTGTCCTATAGAAGCCTTTATACAGCCCTCATTATTGTCTTAGGAAATTGCCTATGTTTTTGGTACATATTGTGAAACTGTTCCAGAATGCTTGTATTGAAGTTTATATGAGGGGGACCCCCCAAAAACCTGGAATTTATTTATTAAATATGTGTATATATTCTTACTTGTTTAAACTTCAGTCACCTTCAAAGTACTCTCTGTTTGATACAATACCCCTATCAAGATGCTTTGCCTCCTGCTCAAAACAGTTTTTGAATTCATCAACTTTGATACCTTTTAGTGCTTCTGCTGTTTTTTGTTTCACCTCTTTTACAATGGTAAAACATTTCCCTCTGAGGATTTTTTTCATCCAGAGAAACAAAAAAAGTTGCTTGGGGTGAGATCAGGTCAGTTGGGAGGGTGGGACACGGGGGTTCAAAACTGCTGAATACTCAGCGCGGTGTGGGCAGGTGTGCTGTCATAGTCAAGGACCCAGTCACCTGTTTGCCACAATGTGGGACGTTTCTTCCATAAATTGTGATGCAACCTTTTCAAAACTTCCAGATTAAAGACTTTGGTTGACCACTTAATTCAGGGGAACAAGTTCCGAGTGTACTAGAAGGAACCTGTCTTCCAAAGGATCATTCTGTTTTTTGGGGGGTCCTCCCTCATACTTCATTAACAAGGTAGGAAGATATTCTTTTCCTTGCTTTTTCACTAATGATAAGTATTTTCATTTAAAATAATCTCTGCCAACTTTGTAGCTGAAATGTAAGATTTCATTGTTGTTTTAAACAATAGTGATGTTTAAGGGTGCTATCAGCCATTGAATTGTCTGCTTATATCCCTTTCACATCTTTCGATGGGGATTTTAAAAAGTTATTGAGTTATAAGAGCTTTTTATTGTAATATTAAGAATGTTAGCCTTTTGGTTGCCACAAATACTACTCATATATACCCCTAGTTAACCATTTCATTTTGCAATTATTCTCTTCTTGTAGTTAGTGCCTCCAGAAATGTAGTAAAATAGGAAGGATGGCATTTGTGGTGTCATGAGAATAGCTAAGATCTCTAAGGTGACCAAAATCACTGTTTGAGTTCCAGGTGGCCAAATGAGTATTGTTCTGCTCTCTTGTCATAAACAGTGCTCCTGGACTCACCCACCTATCTTAAATGCAATTTTTAAAAAGTCATAAAGGTAGTGAGAGAAGGAGGTGGAGAAAGTAATAATGTTAGTACAGTGTCTTACAAATCTGTACTTATAGTTGTGCATAGGTCAACCCTCTCGCTCTGGGAGCTTTTCTGTCCTCTCAATAAATCCTGCTTTCTAAAAAGAAAATGTGCATCAGACAACTTAACATGTGGTCAATAGAGCGACCCACTGTCCTCCATCAGATGAACAGCTTAAGAACGTCATTGTTGGCTCAGTGGGGTAAAACTGTACCTGCCACTCCATCTTCCCGCACTTCGCCATCCTCCATCAGGTGAACAATGGGAAGCACTGCTGCACAGATGCATGCTGGGAACACCGCCTGTGGAGGCTGAGGCACATGGTGGTTTGGCGTGTGTTCCGTGGTGTGTTCCTCATCTGAAGAGGGAAACAAAACCATGGTGCTTTTCTCAGTAATGCCATTCTAATGCAACCGTGTTCTCAGTTCAAGGCCTGTCCATTTAACAGTATAATCCTGGCAACAATAAGAAAATGTCTGCATTTTTTTTTTAAAGGTGAGATCATACAGAGTGCCTGCCTATGTAAAAACAAACAGCAAACCCATCTTCCAAGAACCGTCATCCTCGTTTTGGGAGAGAAAGAAAAGGACAGACATTCTTGGGTAGGTGCATTAGTTCACATTATTAAACCCATGAAGATAAAAGTCGAAGAAGAGACTAAGAGATCTTTCATCAATACAACTGGTATGTGCATGTGAGTGTGTGAGAGAGGGCGAGCACTAAAATGGGGCTACAGAAAACCTTCACACACACACATTCAGGGTGAGAATGACATCGCTCACTCATATTAATGTCCTCATCTTTATTGATAGATATAACTAATAATAAATGTAATTTCATAAGGAAATAAATGAAAGGGTTTAGATTTAGTAGGCAAGGAAGGAAGGAAATGCCTAAATCAGTTTATTAATAAGAAAAACTATACATATATTTTTCTAAAGAACCATGAATCTTTGATTCTCATATTGCAGTTTATACAGCTACTTGAGATTTTAGAGGTCCCATGAAGAGTAAGAGACAGTCATTTTCAATCCTGGCTTCATACTAGATACATGTGAAAATCTTTTAAAAAGATAAGATTTGATGGGAAGAAAATTCTGGAATGGTGAAATAAAGATTTCTGAAATATGTTCCTCCATAAAAGAAATGAGATACTGGCAAATATAGTCAAAATACACTTTTTCAGAACTTAAATTACCAAAGTTTGGAACAATGTGAAGGGCATTTATTAAAAAAGATCAATGGCATTTCTGGCATTTTAACTTGCCCTGTTCACCTTCCCCTCTTCCTAACTCCTTGGTAGCCTTGAAAATTAACAACCTCGCAAGCATGATAGCTGTAAAAACCAGCAGCCTAGCAGCCACTGGAAGGACAGAGCATGTTTGGAGGTCCCTAAGAGCATCACCAGGGAATTGTCACTACTTGACCTACCTAGAGTTCCCTGGAAAATCCTCACTCACGGCACTTGTCTTTATTTTACTTGATTTGGGGCTTAGTTAGTGGAGCTAGCTCTATCCCCAGGGCATTTGCCAAAAGAGTCAGCAACAACAATTATTAACATTGCAGCTGCTTAAGGTGCTTACATCAGTTGGAGCAAGCAGGAGCTGATCAAAAAACTTGAAAGGAAAATTTAGAGTGTGAGACCTCTATAGGGACCTTGTACATCTCTGATATGGTCCAGGGCGTCTAGAACAGGGATCCCTAACTCTCGGGCCATGGATGGATTGGTCTGTAGCCTGTAAGGAACTGGGTTGCACAGCAGGAGGTGAGCAGCGGATGAGCCAGCGAGACTTCATCTGTATTTACAGCTATCCCCCATCGCTGGCATTATTGTCTGAGTTGCGCCTTTTGTCAGATCAACAGCAGCATTAGATTGTCATAGGAATGCAAACCCTATTGTGGACTGTGCGTGTGAATGATCTGGGTTGTGTGCTCCTTATGAGAATCTAATGCCTGATGATCTGAGGTGGAGCTGAGGAAGTGATGCTAGCACATCTAGGGGTAGCTACAAAGACAGATTAACAAGAGCCATGAGGTTTGACTGCACAGAGACCACAATAAATCAACTGCTTGCAGACACATATCCAAACCCTATCAGTGAGTGGCAAGTGATTTGATGTACTTCAATTGTACAACTATATCTGGTGGCAGGCTTAAGTCAGAATCTGACACTTATTTTAGTCCAACATGGCCTGTTCATTATTTGATTTACCACTTTCATCGGTACATTTTTTTATGGTGAGTTTGCATAATTATTTCATTATATATTGCAATATAATAATAATAGGGCCAGGCTCGGTGGCTCAGCCTTGTAATCCCAGAATTTTGGGAGGCTGAGACAAGAGGATTGTCTGAGCCTGTGGGTTTGAGACCAGCCTGGGCAACTTGGCGAGACCTCCTTCTCTACAATAAATCAAAAATTAGCCAGGTGTGTTAGCACGCACCTGTAGTTCTGGCTACTTGGAAGTCTGAGGTAAAAGGATCGCTGGAGCTCAGCAGGTTGATGTTGGGGTGGTCACGAGCATAAAACTACAATCCAGCCTGGGCAATGGAGTGAGACTCCAACTCAAAAAACGATCATCATCATCATAGAAATAAAGTGCACAATAAATGTTATGTGCTAAAATCACCCTGAAACCATCCCCCCTGCCCACCCCCTGGCCCATAGATAAACTGTCTTCCAGTAAAACCCGGTCCCTGATGTCAAAAAGGCTGGGAACCACTGATCTAGATGACTTCATATATGTGCAAGGTTATGCACATTCCCAAGAAGGACCCGGGAAAGTTCTAGTCTCTCACTTTTGTCTGACCTTGAGACTCTACACAAGCATAAAGTAAAAAAAAAAATGAAGGCCAAGGCCGAGTTTTAAACTACTGGAACACTGAAGTTGTGCCTGATGCATTTATGCTTTGTTGAGTGTGATCACTAAAATTCCTGTTCAGTTAGTTAGTGCTCAAGTAATAATTACACAGAGATTAAGTGCCTTGAACTAATAAATCTTCCAGCCTTTGCTTAGGAGCAATAGGCTTTTGCTTAGGAGAGATTGACAACTTTTACAAAATTCAACAGAGACCGGGCACAGAGGCTCGCTCCTATAATTCCACACTTTGGGAGGCTGAGGTGAGAGAATTGCCTGAGTCCATGGGTTCAAGAACAGCTGGGCAACTTGGCGAGACCTCACCTATACAATAGATCAAAAAAATTAGCCAGGCATGGTGATGCATGCCTGTAGTTCCAGCTACTTGGAAGACTGAGGATAGCCTGAACCCAGCAGGTTGAGGCTGCAGTGGCTGTGAGATTGCCACTGCCCTCCAGTCTGGGTAACAGAGTGAGACTCCAACTCAAAAAAAGAAAAAAAAATCCAACAGAAATACAAAACTCAATGAAGAGAAACAAAACACAGTATAAAGCTATAACAGTAGGCTAGAACAAGCAGAAAAAAAGAATCTTAGAGATGGAAGATAGGTTATTTAAACTAACCCAGTCAAAGAGAAACAAAGAAAAAGCATAAAGATGAATGAACAAAGCATATGAGAAATATGAGACTATGTAAAATGACCAAACCTATGAGTCATAGGCATTCCAGAGAGAGAAGTTAAGATAAAAAGCATGGAAAATATATTTGAGGAAATAATACAAGAAAGCTTTTCTAGTCCTGAGGGAAACCTAGATATCCAGATATAAGAAGCTCAAAGAACTCCTGCAAGATATATCACAAGAAGAACCTTACTATCCTAAAGCAGCAAGAGAGAATCACTGAATCACTTATAAGGAAATGACATTAGACTAAAAGCAGACTTCTTAGCAGAAACCCTAAAGGCCAGAAAAGAATGGTGACCTATCTTCAACCTCCTTAAAGAGAAAAAAAAAATGTCAACCAAGATTTTATATCCAGCCAAACTAGCTTCATAAATAGAGGAAAAATATAGTACTTCCCAGACTAACAAATACTAAAGGATTTTGTCACTGCCAAACCAGTTGTACAAGAAATGCTCAAAGGAGCTCTAAACTTGGAAATGAAACGACTCTCACTGTCACAAAAGAGTTCAAAGCTCACAGTGTTTGTAAAGCAAGTACACATTAGAGTCCCAAAGTTAGCCAGCTCACAACACAATGGCATGAATAAAACCTAACATAATATTAACCCTGAATGTATATGGGCTAAATGCCCACTTAAAAGAATCAGGGTGGCAAATTGGATAAAAAACAAGACCCATACCATATATTGCCTACAAGAGACCCACCTACTGACTAAAGTCAGTCACAGACTCAAAGTAAATGGGTGGAAAAAGAAATATCAAGTGAATGGACAACAAAACAAGCAGAAGTAGCCATCCTCATATCAGATAGCTCAGATTTTAAATAAAAAACAGTAGGAAAAAAAGACAAAAAAGGACATTATATAATGATAAAGTGTGCAATTCAACAAGAGGATTTAACCATTTTAAACATATATGCACTGAATACCAAAGTACCCAAATTCATGAAGCAAATACTACTTGACCTCCACAGACATATTGCTAGCAATATCATAATAGTGAGTGACTTCAACATCCCACTGACATCACTAGACAGATCACTGAAGCAGAAAATTAACAAAGAAATAACAAAGAAACATTGAGCTTAAACCGGACTATAGTTCGAATGGAGCTAACAGACATCTACATAACTTTCCACCCAACAACTGCAGAACATACATTCTTCTTATTTCACACAGAACATTCTGCAAAATAGGCCATATGTTTGGCCATAAGTCAAGTCTCAATACATTTTAAAAACATCAAAATTATACCAAGCATCTTCTCAGTCCATAGTGGAATAAAATTGGAAATCCACACTAAGAGGAGCTCCCAATGCTTCCACTACATGGAAACCAAGCAACTCACTCATGAATGACTCTTGGGTAAACAATGAAATTAAGGCAGAAATAAAAAAATATTTACTGAAACAAAAATGGTGATACAACATACCAAAATCTCTGGGACAGTTCTGAGAGGAAAGTTTATAGCATTAAATGCCTACATCAAAAAGATAGAGTGATCAGAAATTAACAGCTTAACCTTGAACCTCAAGGAACTAGAAAAACAAGAATAATCTAAACCTGAAGCTAGCAGAAGAAAAGAAATAACAAAGATCAGAACAGAATTAAATAACATTGAGGGACTCAAAAGATACAGAGGATCAATGAATCAAAAAGTTTGGTTTCTTTGGAAGAATAAACAAAATTGACATACTACTGGCTTGACTAATAAAGGAAAAAACTCGAATGAATTCAATCAGATGACAGAGATGACATAATAAATGATACCACAGAAATAAAAAAAGATCATCAGGGATCACTATGAGCACTTCTATGGCAACAAACTGAAATACCTAGAGGAAATGGATAAATTCTTGGAAACATACAACCTCCCCAAGACTATACCAGGAAGAAATAGATACCTTGAATAGACCAATAATGAGCAATGTAATTGAATCAGTAATAAAAAATCTCCCAAAAATAACTAAAAAAGCCCAGGGGCAGACAGACTCACAGCTGAATTTTATCAGCTATATAAAGAAGAGTTGATACCCATCCTGCTGAAACTACCTAGAAAATTGAGGAGGAGGGACTCTTCCTAACTCATTCTATGAAGCCACACTGACACCAAAATCAGGCAAAGACACACACACAAAAACCCAGCCTATTTCCCTGATTAATATAGAGGCTAAAATCCTTGATAAAATACTAGAAAACTGAATTCAACAGCAAATCAAAAAACCTTATCCATCACGGCCAAGTGGGTTTTATTTCAGGAATGCAAAGGTGGTTCAATATCTGCAAATCAATAAACGTGATACACCACATAAACAGAAGCAAAAAAAAATCCCATATGATCATCTCAATAGATACAGAAAAGGCATTCAACAAAATCCAACATCCCTTTATAATAAAAACTCTCAATAAATGGGGAATTATATATATATATATATATATATATGAAAGAACATATCTCAAAATGATAAGAGCCATATACAAGAAACCCATAGTCAACATCACACTTAACCAGGAAAAGCTGAAAATACTTCTCCTCAGAACAGAAACAAGACAGGGATGTCCACTCTCACTACTCTTTTTAAAACTCATACTGAAAGTCCTAACAAGAGCAATCCAGGAAGAGAAAGAAATAATGGATATCCAAACCATCAAGGAGGAAGTCAAACTATTCCTGCTCATGGATGACATGATTGTATACCTAGAAAGCCCTCAAGACTCCAAGAAGCTTCTAGACCTGATAAATGGCTTCCATAAAGCCTCAGATTTCAAGATCAATGTACAAAAGTCTGTAGAGTTCCTATACACCAACAATGCTCAAGGTGAGAACCAAATCAAAAGCTCAATCCTATTTACACTTGACACACACACACATATACACACACATCCAGGGATATACCTAACTAAGGAAATGAAAAATCTCTACAAGGAAGACTACAAAACACTGATGAAAGAAATCATAGATGACACAAACAAATAAAAAAGCATCCCATGTTCATGGATTGGAAGAAGCAATATTGTTAAAATGACCATACTGCCCAAAGCAATCTATAGGTTCAATACAATCTTGATGAAAATATCAACTGTGTTCTTCACAGAACTAGAAAAAAAATCTTAAAGTTTATATGGTATCATAAAAGATCCCAACTAGCCAAAGTATTTCTAAGCAAAAAGAACAATTGTGGAAGTATCACACTGCTTTACTTCAAATTATACTATAAGGCTATAGTAACTAAAACAGCATTGTACTGGTACAAGAATAGACAGACTGACCAATGGAACAGAATAGAGAACCTAGAAATAAAACTACATTTCTACAACTAACTGGTTTTTGAAAAAATTGACAAAAATTAACAATGGGAAAAGGACACCATGTTAATAAATGGTGCTCAGAAAATTGGCTAGCCATATGCAGAAGAATGAAATTGAACTCCATCTCTCACCATATACAAAATCAACTCAAGATGGATCAAAGACTTAAATGCAAGTTCTGAAAATATAAAAATCCTAAAAGAAAACCTAGGAAATACTCTTCTGGACATTGGTCAAGGCAAATAATTTATAACAAAGATTCCAAAAGCAATTGGAACAAAAACTAAAATAGACAAATGGAACTTAAGCTAAAAAGCTTCTGAACACCAAAAGAAATAATCAACAGAGTGAACAGAAAACCTATTGAATAGAGAAAATATTTGCAAATTATACCTAAGACAAAGGGCTAATATCCAGAATCTATATGGAACTCAACACAAACAAAAATAGCTCCATAAAAAAGTGGGCAAAGGACATAAACAGAGACTTCTCAAAAGCAGACACACAAGTGGACAACACACATATGAAAAAATGTTCAACATCACTAATTATCAGAGAAACACCAATTAAAACCACAATTAGATATTACCTCACACCAGTCAGAATGGCTATTATTAAAAAGACAAAGAACAACAGATGTTGTCGCAGTTGCAGAAAAAAGGGAACACTCATGGTGGAATTGTAAAGTAGTTCAGCCTTTATGGAAAACAGTCTGGAGATTTCTCAGAGAACTGAAAATTGAATTATCATTGATCCAGCTATCTTCTTGGGGTTTACCCAAAGGAAAAGAAATCAATATTTTAAAAAGATCCCTGTATTTATGTGCTTATTGAAGCATTACTCACAATAGCAAAATCATGGAACCAGCTTTAGTGCCCACTAGCAGTTGACTGGATAAAGAAAATGTGGTCTATATACACCATGGAATACTATGCAGCCATAAAAAAGAATGAAATCATGTTTGTAGCAACATGGATGGAACCAGAGATCCTCATCCTAAGTAACTCAGAAACAGAAAACCAAACACTGTATGTTCTCATTTATATGTGGAGCTAAATGCTCACAAAAATGGAAATAACAGACACTGGGGATACCCATAAGGTGGGAGGGAGGCTAAGGTTCAGAAATTACCTTATCAGGAATAAGACACACATACCTGCTTTCACCACTGCTTTTTACTCAAGGGTTAGAAAGTGCTATTAGGCAATAAAATGAAATAAAGGTCATCCAGACTAGAGAGAAAGAAGTAAAATTGTCTCTACCTGCACATTACATACTTTTATATGTAGAAAATTCTGAGGTATCCAGGTTGGGTGCAGTGGCTCACCCAGCCTGTAATCACAACACTTTGGGAGGCCAAGGTGGAAGGATTGCTTGAGCCTAGGAGTTTGAGACCAGACTGGGCAACATAGAGAGACCTTGTCTCTACAAATACAACATTTAAAAATGAGCTGGGTATGGAGGTGCACACCCATAGTCCCAACTATTCGTAAGACTGAGGAGGAAGGATCTCCTGAGCCCAGGAAGCAAATGCTGTGGTGAGCCAGGATCAATATTATGCTAAGTGAAAGAATCCAGACCACATATTGTATAATTCTATTTATATGAAATGTGTAGGCAAATCCACAGAGATAGAAAGTAGATTAGTTCTCACTGGGGGTTAGAGAAATTGTGGTTGGTGAGCAATTACTAATAGGTATAAAGTTTCTTTGGGAGTTGGTGAAAATATTTGAAAATTAGACAATGGTGATGGTTATACACTCAATACATACACTAACAACTACTACATTGTATACTTCAAAGGGACAAATCTTATGGCATATGATTTGTATCTCAATAAAAGGTGTTATAAAAATGTAGATAAAAATGTGGCCAGGCACAGTATCTCAAGCCTGTAACGCCAGCACTTTGGGAGGCCAAGGTAAAGGGATTGCCTGAACCCATGGGTTCAAGACCAGCCTGGGCAACTTGGCGAGACCTCATCTCTACGATAAATTTTTTAAAAATTAGCCAGACATGGTATCACATGTCTGTAGTTCTAGTTACTTGGAAGGCTGAGGCAGAAGGATCACCTGAGCCCTGCAGTTTGATGCAGGGGTGGTGGTGAGCCCAGGCTTTCAGCCTGGGCAATGGAGTGAGACTCCAACTCAAAAAAAAAAAAAGAAGTAGATGGTCTTAGGTTCCTTCCACATAAGTTGCAATTAATTAACATCAGTCATTTTTCAAAGTTCCCCAGGATCGTGCAGCTGAGGGTTGAAAACCAATGACCTCTTTGCTCCATTTCTGTGTATCTTTATCATGCCTTTATAAATGAGTAATGACATTTGTGTAATCATGAAGCAGTGAGTCCCAGATGGTTTTTCACTGATAGATAAGCACATTTTAAACAATTTTGGAACCAAAGGCATCACATTCTACTTTCACTCCTCCACACAGAGAATCAATGTCATTACAGGAATGGCATAGGCCTTAGTCTTCTTTTGATTGTTAAATTATCTACAAACATCATCCTAAACATCCTATGATCACACACTGGAATCACCCGAGGAGGTTTTAAAAATATTGGTGCACAAGTTCTGCTCTCAGAAATTTTGACTTGGTTCTGGACTTTTTTGGTTAGCTTTCCAGTTGATTTTAGTGTGTAGCCAGGATGGAAAAGCTATTACATGCCTACAATAATGCCTTCTAACCCTCAGCAAGATGATTACATGTAATATAACTAAAATAGAGCCAACATAATAATGACAGTTGCTGGCTTAAATTAACCATACTTTTTAAAAAATATGCCACTCTAATTTTCTTTAGAACTTCAAGTCATGGAACAAGTTATTTGATGAAGGCAATGCAATGGAGTGACAGAATGATATTAACCGGAAAATGTTTCAAAACACATAAGGCATGAGGTATAAAGAAAACTCTTGCAAGAGGACACACCTTCAGCACTGACGGCTGAACGCACTGACCAGACTGACCCTCGGCGGAAGGAGTAATTCCTGTGGGAAGTACTAGATGTACAGGATGGACTCACAGACAGTCGACGGGATGCCAGATTGGTGACTTCTTCTACTGGCAAACAAAATGGAGAATGTTAACTTTGGTTTTTATAATGAAAAGGTTATCATCATCACAAGTATAGTTGTACTTATATCACAAGTGTATGCTGCTCTCAGATCACAATGCTTAAGTAATTTTCAATGTACTTAGGAAAGGGGGGGAAAACCCTACAGAAGAAAGATGGAAAATTTCTTCCAACCTTTCCACAAAAGCACAGCAGATCATTACTGAATTTAGAATGGTTCATCAATTATTTTCTGAGACCAACCAACAAACTGCACTAGTGGAGGTTGAAATCAGCTAATGAAAGATTGGTTGCTTGGCTTACTCAATGTGGCTAATGTTCTCCTCTGGAAACAGGCCAACTCGAAACTTTAGAAAACTTTTCTTTTTGTCTGAATAGTGTCAGAAGGTGAGAGAGAGATGGAAGAGGGTATAGCTCCTCATATCACCTAAAATCATTGATTTTACTTCAAAGCAGGTTATTTCTCTGTGACTCAATCCCCCCCCAAGAAATTCTGTGTGTAGAGGGCACCTTCTTCTTCTGGCTCTGAGTTGGGTGTGCATGTGGGCTCATAGCAAGCTTCCTGGGTGATGGGAATGGCGGTGATGAGGCTGGCTTCTCGACCAAGACGTTTCTTCTCCTCCTCCTGCTGTAAATTCTTTAAGATGTGCTCTGCCCTTTGATGGGAGCGGGACACAGCTCGGGCTGAAAAGGATTTCTGTAGAGATAAAGGCAAGCTTATTTAATAGCAGTTCTTCTGTGTGTTCACAGGCATAAAGAGTGCTCTAATGAATTACACAAATGTGGTAATTTGTCTTCAGGAAATGTTAGGATAACCATGATCTAGTTTCATGGAGATTTATTTGTTTGTTTTCCTATCAAATTTACAGGCTGTTTATAGCTAAGTTATTTTTTTTTGTACTCAGTAAGAATGATTCTTCAAGAATATCTGTAATTTCTGAAAATAATCTTACTTCAACTTTAGTATTTGGGAGGGTATCAATGATTTATTTTTTAAACATTAAGACCAAATAAAAATTTTTAGTATGCAATTTCTTTCCAAATTTTTTGAGTTGGTTTTAAAAAAAAGATGTTTGTTTCATAATAAAACTTCATAATTAACTAAAATAATAAAACTTCATAATTAACTAAAATAAAATTTCAGTTAATAAAACTGAAAGTTAGAACTATGGAAAGGAAAAGAAAAGATATATCTTTCACATAAACCAGTTAACTTTGTGATTTATTTCACTTTTATAGCTCAAGTATCTGTCACACTATAAACACTTAATATTTATAGATAAATACAGTGATACACTGTAAGTACTTAGCAATATAGTAGAAACAAAGTTACTGAATGAAAATTATGAGAGTTGACAGTGTTACTAGGGTTGAATGTAAAATTTGACTCTGACTACTAGCTGCCAAGACACTGGAAATATATTAAGAGAAATCTACTTTTCCATAGATAAAGGATAAGAAACAATGAAGAAAAGAAGATTTGCTCTTTGCAAAATGGCTATTCTATTCATGCCTTAATCATGGTGCTTATGCCGAGGTAAGTTTCAAGATCTTTGGGGACAGGGTCAGTGGTCTCAAAGTAGGGAAGTGATCACTGGAGTTTTCCCCTACAATCTCAAAGTAAAGTCCACAAACAACAGCAACTCCACATCTCTTTGTTGGTCTATAGTCACACAGGATTTTAGAGACAGGCAGGGGATATTGGTCACTCCTCTAAAGTGCTGCTTTCGTAGAAGTTTCTTTATGTAGGATCTTAACATAAGACTAAGGTTTTCCTGTGTTGAATAACAGAGCAGCAGTTAAAAGCATTTGATGGGCTACATGGCAATTCATTTTCAGAGCCAGGTGACTAAACTGGTTTATCATAATAAGGCATGAAGAACTGTGAAATGAGAAAGAGAACTGGATATAGAATCTGAGTGCTTGGTTTCAAATCCACTGTGAACTTGGGATAGAGGGTGCGGCTGGCTCAACTGAACTAATCACTTCTTTGGGAAAAAAAATTAAAGATCTTTATGTTGGTGGTTCAGATGCTGAGAAGGCAGCACAGATGGGAGAAGTAGGTACTGCGCACAGAAGAATTATAGTGAAATAGGCATAGTATGATGGGTAAAGAGTTCGTATAAACAGTTTTCCAAAGAAAACTACAGATGCCTAGAAAAATCTACAAATAATATGCAAAAAGGTTCAAACTAACTTCACATATTTAATTAACTTTTTCAAAGAAGCATGAATGAAAATAAACAGTAAAGTTTTTTGGACATTCAGAGTGGTACTTTAAAAAAATAACACCAATCAAGAAGACGCTTTCCAATTCTATTCTGTAAGGGCAACATGGTATAACTTTTCTGGGGATATTTTATGAGACATATCAAAAATCTTTAATAGTTATTATACCAATTGCCATAAATTCCAGCAGAATTTATCCAAGGAATTTATGAATTTGTACAAAGAGTTATGCTCTTTTTCTATTTTTGCTTTATTTTCTGAGTTTTCTACATTATTCTTGTAATTTAGAAAAATGTTATGCAGCAGGTGAAAAAGGCATATTTTGAAGATTCATGTTTTAAAAGGTGCATATTCTTTTGAATGCTGAGTTCACCTGCTGAGTTCACTGAGGTGAACTCTCAGTTCAGTAAGTGAACTGAGTTCCAAGTTGACTATGAGCTGTGTTACATATAGCAGAGGTAAGACTTGAGCACTCCGAGTCATATTTGTGATGACGATACTATGATCAATAAAATGCAGAACAAACTAAGATTCAAACAAGAAAACAGCTGCCAACTCTCTTCTTTTTCTTACTTTTTTCAGGGCCAATGTCCTTAAATTTCAGGTAGTTTATGCATTCTTGGTAAAATGAAAATGCTTGTTTTGTAATAAATAGAGGCACAAGTGCTACCTATGCCCAAGAAATCAATGCCTAATGCTTTTTTTCTTTTTTTTTGAGTTGGAGTCTCACTCTGTCACCCAGACTGGAGTGCAGTGGCCGCTCCCGGCCACCGCAGCCTCACCTGCTGGGCTCTGGCGATCCTTTCGCCTCATC